AGATCGGAAGAGCACACGTCTGAACTCCAGTCACCCAGTTAGATCTCGTATGCCGTCTTCTGCTTGAAAAATTTTAGATATGTGATTCAGAGCTAATATTCAGTATGTTTTTTAGCTAATGAGCGCCCCCCCCCCCACCCCCACTCTCCCCCCCCCAGGATCCTCCCCACTCAGCCTGCCGAGGGACATTTTTTTTCTGTGATGGCAAATGAGACTGGGAAAGCAAAAAAAATGCCGGACTAGGAGGTAAATCCGCGGACTGTGATCTATGGTGTACTTTTGACTTCCTTGTTGTCCCAGGAAATAAGGATAGACTCACAGGGGGGACAAAGGGGGTCGATTCATTCCGCTTTTTATTGATGTTGTTATTATTATTAACATTATTATTATGGTTCTGATTATTATTACTACTATTACTACTACTACAACTATATTGCAATTACTAATGCTTTATCGATTTGCTTTATTTCTGTATTTATTTATTACTGTATTTATTTGATACCTGTGTTCGTCCGTTTGGTCGATTGCTTTACCTCCTTTCATTTTTTTTTATTTGATTCGATTTTTTTTTTTAATTTCCTCAACTCTGTATCTTTCTCTCTCTTTTTCTGTGTGTGTGTGTGCGTGTGTGTCGTCGTGTATGTCCCGGAATAAGAAAAAAAAAAGAAAAAAAGGAAAAAAAAAACACAAAACAACCGAACAAAACGAAATAGGATACACTAAACGCAGACAGACGTGTGCGTCCGCGAAAAATAACATGAGACGTAACTACTCGGAACAACCTCGAACAGCCTGTGGGCTTTTCGCACGGGTGGGAACAGGTTTGCTCATTTAGTTGTCATTTCAATCGTTCTTGTTTTTTAAGTGGAGGGGGTGGCAAGGGGAGGCGGTGCGATGTTGCTAGGTGCTAATTTCAAATGGATGACTTTGCTGTCTGTGTCCACCAATGCCATCATCCAACGGGAGCAAGGCTGGTCAGCGAGCCCAGTAAAACAGTGTGTGTTTCGTCGTGGGAGGTTTAAAATGGATATGAATGTATTTGTGAAGCACAACCTCTAGCAGAGCATTTTACTACCAAAATCCATGCATTTGTCACCAGCCAAAACCCTTTGTTATTGGCTTATCTTGTGCCAAACGCCCACCATTAACACCCCGGACAACTTCAGCCTAGGTGTCTGCAGTGGTGCCCCAGATTTGAACACTAAAAAGAATCTAATACTGATATTTATTTTATTCATTAATCAATAGTGCCAGTAACCAACTGGAGCCCCAAGAAGGACAACCATTCTTCTAATGGTTGTCTTCTTAAGCCATATTTAGGCAGCCTAGATTTTAAAAAGCAATGTTTCCCGATTCCACGTTCTTGCTGCATCCAGGCTGATGATTATTTCATTGATTAGGCCTTTATAAATTGCCGTCAGTTCTGGAAGTGCCAGAGCTATTGTTTTACTTAGACAAAAGCTAAAGTAGCTTGAGAATGTCATTGTTTTAGGAGTAGAACAATGACCAAACCCATATCCTTTAAATTATCCGTTCAATCAGAGGCAAGTGAAAGTCCAGCTGAACTGAATACAAGAGGATGCCACCAGGGTCACTCCTGCCTTAAGGGCTACAGAAATCCCAGCTCGGTGAAAATCCCTTCACTCAACAATCATTCCATTCACTCGGGCTCTCCATTTTGATTTTCAAGTGGCTCACAACACGTTTGCAAGCAGCGAAAGACATGTGAGGAAAATAATATTCTGATTGACGCTTAAATTGGGAAGAGGGGTGCAATAAGATCCAGATCAGTATTTCAGAAAGAGGATTAGTCAGTTCTGTCCATTGATTTCCAAAGATTGTACATCATGTGTTTCTGAACATACCGTACAAACGTTTTACACAGAGTGATACCTAAAATGTTACAACACAGTGGAGGTACAGAGAGGAGTGAATGGAACTGATTACTAGACTGATAAACTCCTGGCGATTTTGCAAAATCAACTTAACATATCAACTTGATATGATAGGTCCCTCACAAATACATTGTTATAACTCATCTGCTATGCCCCAAGACATGTAAGGGTGGTGACAAATTGTGAAAAATATTACCATTGCAAATGAATGCTCTCATTTTTGTGATGTGAAATCATGCTGAATTATCAAAGAGTCATTGTAAAGCAACAGAAGCATAGGTGATTTGACCTTTATATTTAAATCATAATGTCCGCAGTTAATGAGTTTTATATGATACGTAAATATCCTCTTTTGCATTTCCTCTGTTACAAAAGAGCTGTAAGCTGTGTGATGGGAAGTCAGATGAATGAAAAATGACCGTGGGTAAAAGGCCTTTCCGTACTCTCATGTGCTTCTTGAGGTGGTCATGATGAAAAGGGACGCACCTGGGGTTAAATATTCCAGAACTGTTATATTATCAGAAGAACTATGTAGATCAATGTTTATATGTTGGCATGTAATTTCACCAAGAGTTCAAAATTTGCTTCACTTCCTAGTGCTCTCCATGTTGCTTGGAATCAACATTATCCTCCTCGCATTGCCTTGCATGTTTTGGGCTCTGTGGGTTTCAGTAACATTATTCCAAACAAAGAGTTTTGCCAAAAATCGGAATCGGAAGCAGCAGAATGTTGTAATACTGCCAAAGCTGTGGCTTTAACTGTTCATGATATCAAAATAGAGCCTTATTTGCTACAACAAGCATGCAGGAAATGGGTCTAATGGACAAGTGGGTTGTCGTCCATCAGAAAGCTGCCGAACGCACACAGGTGCACGTGCTCCTCACCAGGGGGGGCACATCAGGAACTCAGCGCATTGTACCTCGAGTTCCAGACTGAACCATGTGACCGTGGGAGACGGCAATAGTACAATTCCATTTATTATTGCGAATCAAGAGAATCAGGGGGTGACTTTTATGGAGAAATCGTTTTTTTCGATTTCCTTGGAAGAGCACGGCTTTCTCGTCCACATCCAAGACAATCGTTTTTGAGGTGTTTTTTTTTTTGTGTTCATTTTCAAAGTGAAGAAAAAGAAGGTGGGTTGGAGCAAAGAAAATTACCAAAGGCAAATTTTATGACGAGGGGGCTTGCTCTTCACTGTAGTTGAAGTCAGTGGCATTCTCCTGGTGTTCCAGCAGAATACACTGGAAACTAGACTCAGTTACATGGTGTCGGTGTTCTCTATTACAGAAACTTACATATATGTTCACACAACCCACTGTATTCAAGCTTTGGTTGTAACTCGGGTCTATTGGTTCAAGACGTATCTGAGCAGGTATTGGATATCATATTCGCTGTTTAAAGATAAGACACATTATTATTAACAACTTACAATGCATTTTTTTTTCTTCAAGCACAGAGTTACTTCAAAAAATGAAATCATTTTATTTTCCCTGATTCCACATTTGAGACATCTTGCCTATACTCTGGTCATTCCTGGGGGGAAAACATCAGGGTTTCCGAGCCGTTTGTTTAAAGCACAGGTGTTAAACTCCAGTCTACGACGGCAATCTGAGATCTAGTTGGTTCTTGACGTCTCTTTTAGTGTACTGGCTCAGAGTTTAATAAGCCATTTAATATATAAATATGTAATATGTGTGCGCATTTTCCCTTTTGGGTGTTAAACTGGAGTTCAACACTTCTGTTTAGAATAGACCAAAGCAGTCAACAAAGTCATCCGTTTTGGGCAGATAGCTTTCTGATGTTTAACTCGATTTCAGATTAACCACTTCCCTCCTCTCTACCTCCACCTACAACGTTTACACAGCCAAGTTCAAAACAGACTTGCCTTGCAGAAGAATTCAACAGCAAAACAGTTAGTTGCCGTGTTTCAATTTTAATAAGCTATTCAATACAAAAATGGAAAAAAGGTATAATATTCCATTCTTGGGCTTCTTTTCATTCTATGTTGTAGATAATTTCACAAGAGGAAGAAAGAAAAAATACACAATGTGAAAATATATAATATATTTAAAAATTGCTTCACCATTGCTGTATATTTTGCCAAATGTACACATGTGCAACTTTTCATTTATTTTTTAAAATTGCATATTCTGTTTCAATGTTACTTCCTCTTTCTCCTCCTGTCCTATCTCTCTGGCTCTCTTTTTTTGTAAAGAAAAAATGAACAAAAAAAATCCAACCGCTTGTACATTATGATTATAATTATTTATTTTATTTATTTTTTGTTTGCCGACAGCGCTGTTTACGCTGAAGGGAAAAAAATTGCGCATTTTCCGGAGCATATTCTATTGTATTGAACCGCGCTACGAAAAGAAAAAAAAAAGAAACAAAACTATCTTCAGATTATTAAATATATAAAAATTACCTGCCTGTTACTTAAGAGAAAAATAAAGAATCTATATATGATGAACGAACACACCTGTATACTGTAGACTAAGCTGTATGGGAATCTACGAGAATTTACTGGGAATTAAGTCAACACTTTTTGTCTGTATAAAAAACAAAATATCAAAGTATTCTACAATAATAACTTTGATAAGTGTGTGTTGTTGCGTGTCATTTTTTAAACTCGCTTGTGTCACTGTTCTATCCTCGGGCATTACATGAATTTTATTTATTTATTATTTTTGTTTTTTTTAAAACGAACCATTTTTCACCCTTTTACCTGATCAATACCGAGCGCAATGCATCTACCAAGACAATCTCACTTGTATCACATATGTACGTGATAACTAACACTAACAGTATTTACTGTACATGACAATTGCGTGATAGTACATTGTGTACGATATGAAATCAGAATTTGAGTGTATGAAAGTGCCACATTCAGTAAATTATCACAATGCTTCTTCATCTGTAGTCTTAAGGACACGGGTGAATGTCCGTATGCTTATAATGATTCTGTTCACTAGTTAAAAAGTAAAACAATTTATTATAGGTAAAGCCAATTGAAAGCAAGTCTTTACAAATTCTGCAGCGTTCGACATTCCTATTATATGAACACTAAAGTGAAAGATGCAGTTGAGCCATATATGGTAGCTTCTAAGGGCTGTGATGACATAACGGAATGTAGATGGTCCGGTACAGTGAAATTATAATGATAATTATCGCATCGTTTTGTGAGAATTTACCATCATGTAAATTTGATCTCTCTTGGTGGCAGCAATGCTCTTCTGTGGAGTTCTGCCCATGACAACAACTCATTTGCAATGACTGGAGCATGTATGTATCGTAGGCCTCTGAAGGGATTTCCACTTAAGAAGCGTGGTGAGTTTGACCGTGTTTGGCAACTCATGTACTACCTTTTTTAAGGTCTATTCAATGTGGCATTACCATATTTCCCCAGAGGGAATAATCCCACTCTGCCACCAGTGGAATTATACTTGGCAGAGGCCTAGACACACCCTGTGCATTAATGAGTGAAATCATTGTTAAAAATTCCTCATACACAGATAATCCAGCTAAACTAGCTCAGATAAGTGTTTGTTCTCAGAGCCTCCAAAATAAATATCAAGCTTAAAGAGGCTAGAATTGTGCCTTTCTATAAAAGTACTTGACACTTAGCCCTAAAAACCCTAAAATGCAAAATGTGAAAAACAGTAAAAGTGGTTCATTAGGTAATAGTATAATAGTGACCACCATGCAGAGTCCTGTAGATATGAAACCTAGTAATTTTAAAGTTCTAGGACTCTTCTCCCTGCTTACAGTATATCCTGCAGAGCCACCAGTGTACCCACAGACAAGCACAAAAAAGGTATATTATATAATTACAGTTTTTATTCCTCTAGCAATCAAAATAATTATCATCATCTGAAATCCTTCAATTGCTTACAGTACCCTCTTAATCCCCAAAATCCCAAACAATATGTTTCATTATACTCATTATTGCCAGCAGCCACATCATCCTGCAATTCAAAACTGACAACCCACTGAAGCTCAGCGGGTATGAGCCTGCCAAGTACCTGGATGGAAGACCCCCTGAGAAAAACTAAGGGTGCTGCTGGAAGAGGTGTTATTGGAGCCAGCAAGGGGCACTCACCCTGCGGTCTGTGTGGGTCCTAATGCCCCAGTATAGTGATGGGGACACTATATTGTAACAAATGCGCCATCCTTTGGATGAGACGTAAACCTGAGGTCCTGACACTGTGGTCATTAAAAATCCCAGGGAATCTCTTGAAAAGAGTACAGGTGTTACCCCTGAATCCTAACCAAATGTCCCCCAGGCCTTTACCATTCATGGCCTCCTAATTATCCCCATCTCTGAACTGGCTTCATCACTCTGTTCTCCTCCCTACTGAAAGCTGATGTGTGAACAGACTGGCACACTTTGACTATGACTATACCGTCGCATCATCACATTGGTGGTGGAGGGGATCCCCATTACCTGTACAGCACTTTGAGTGGAATGTCCAGAAGAGTGCTATATACTGTAAGTGTAAGGAGTTATTTATTTATTTATTTATTTATTTATTTATTATTATTATTATTATTAGTATTATTATTATTATTATTATTATTATTGTTGTTGTTGTTGTTGTTGTTATTATTACTCCCACTTAGCTAATGTCTGCAATGAACACAGGGTATTGGAAGAAGACAGCAACCAAGACTCTTTCTCACTTGACAAAGCTTATATGTCCTCCTTCTGAATTTCAGGACATGAATGAGGGGCAGGAATGTACTATGTTTCAGGTCCGATCAGCACCCCCACAAAATATGACATATTTCTTCTGACTGTGTGGTAATTGATGGATGTCTAGGCAAACAGTGGGTCATTCCATCTGAGACTGAATTGTTGCCTGTTGTACAGTGGCTGCTAGGAAGCCTTGGGAGACCTAGAGAGGACAGGAAAGCAGGCAAAAAAGAGGAAAAAACACATCGAACAAGGTAAGCATAGCCCACAAGCCACTGCTTTACATTCACACGTGTCACCCTGTGGCAATCACCCTGTGGGACGTCTTGCTAATGGAAATTTCTACAAACAGGGAAGGATACTGCACAAGGGGAGAGAGCCTGACTATTCTTATGACATCTATGTAATTGCGGTAGAGACATATCCAGAAATAATAAGTGCCCCCACAAGTCCCACTAAGTACTTAGGGGGCTGATAACTCAGGCAATCATTAAATTTGTATATTTCCTTTGCAGGTTTTGCTGACATTCAACCTTCTTCACAAGCAAATGGGGATGAATTGTTAATTTGTCATTGGCAACACAGTGGCGCAGTGGTTAGCGTTGGTTTATTAAGCGGTTAGCACAGCACTGGGACCCTGCCTTTAATTCCAGATCTGGAGTGCTATCTGTGTTGAGTTTGTACGTTCCCCCCACGTTCGCATGGGTTTTCACCCAGTGCTCTGGTTTCCTCCCACAGCCCAAAGACATGCTGGTGGGTTAATTGGCTTCTGGGGAAACTGGCCCTGCTGTGGGAGTGTGTGTTTGTATCTGTGTGTGCCCTGCGATAGACTGGCATGTCTGCTCTCGGGTTTACTTCTGGTGTGGGGTTTGGAGTTTCCACATTAGTTCTCTACTCCCCGACCAATCGTCCGTGGAAGGCTATAGTAGCTGGAAAGGGCTGTTGTGAAAAAATATGTTTGACTGGCCTGGCTATGAAACGTGCAGGAGCAGGGTCCGACTTTTTTGTAAGGATTTCTGGTTTAATGTAAAAAAAATGAAATATCGGATATATTATTTTATTATTTCGCTTTTTATAACGTGCGTATTCTTTTTTACTAAGATTTTTCTTTTTTTAATTGTACGTCTTTAGGATGTTCAGTACCACCGCAACCTATCTGCCTGCGACACGACTCGCCCACCGACGTGCGCTGAATCGCTTGAATGATGTCCTTCTCAGCCAATGGGAGCTAGAGAAATGAAGGAGGCGGGAGGAGTGATGCGTCTTCCGTGCGTGGGAAGTGTGTGACCAACCAACCAATAGAGTTGAGGGAAAGTAGTTTTTTTGTTGTTGTTATTGACGGAAGAATGGCGGTTGGTTTGAAAGAGAAGCAGCTTTCTCAAAGCATTTATAGCTCTTTACAGGTATTTATCCGAACTTTGTTAAGGCAGGCGTTCTATAAGAAGAGTTCACAGCTGTAGGTTTACTTGAATTCTGTAGGTTCATCGTTGTTATCTTAAGTTATATTAGTTGCTCATAACATTCCTTACTGTATTTTTATTTCACCCTGTAAATTAACTGTTTAGGGATATGTTCCCGTGTTTAAACATTTTAATGGCGATCCGAATGGATAAATCGTAAGAAGAAGAAATATAATAACATATAGTAATGTTTTTCGACAAAGGGCCCGCTAGCTAATTTTTGTGATGTGTATTAACACATTTGTATTAACGTACAGGTGTATTAACGTAGCAGGAGATAAGAAGCGAATCGCGATTCTCCTTTTGTAATCTTGAAAACTTGGTCAATAATTTTATGTGGAAGACACAGTAGCTGCTGCCACAGTTATATTGTTTTCAAACGATTATACCGTGAACGTCTGGAGATTTTAACCTGCTTCTGAGGTTGGAGAGGACGTGTAGCACTGGATATTGAGCTGAAGCAAATATACATTCACCCCACCCTAGTCCTACATTGTCTTTAAAGTACGGTTGTTATTATTGAGTAGCGTTTTGATTTCCCTCTTTCTATGAAATGCGATTGTCCTGGCAGAGCTGAGTGGTGTCAGGCTCGGCTGTAAGATGTGTGGTATGTAATGACTTGACATCTGCGAATGCTCCTTCTCCCCTCCAGGAGCTCGATTGCCCGTTAGTAGAAGGACTGTTTCTGAGAGAGGATGAAAGCATGCAAGAGTTGCTTTGCACACCTTCTTTGCATCGCTTGGATATTTTGAAATGGATCTGCATAAGGTAAGCGCAGAATGACTTGGACCATATGTACATACCGCCTCCCTCAAAAAAGCATTGTATATATGATGAATTTATACACGAGACCCACTTCTTATTGGCTGTGGTGCATACAGTGGATTTGTGTGTGAAAGATGTGCTTTCCTCACAGTTGTCTGAGCTGGCTTCACAATCAGCTCAACTGCACTTACCGTCAGTCAGCTGTAATCATGGTGGAAAGAGTGATGCAGATCATTTGTAGAGCAGGCAACTTAATTTGTGCATTGAAATCCTCAAAGTCCTCCACATTAACCCCCCCCCAAAGAAAAAGAAACCATGACATGGAATGGTTTTCGTGAGACTGGGAACCAGTGCAGTTGTCTTAGAACGGGTGTGATGCTGTCTCTAGGCTGAGTTTATTAAAATACCCTTATATTTCAATCAACGTTTGAGAGTGAAACTCGAGGTCAGGAGTCACGATCCTGCAGCAGCAGCAGCAGTAATTAAATGTGAAATTAAGCTAAGAACAGGGTGGTACAGTATGGTTTCATACAATGTAAGTTAGCACAAATGCTTATTCACTGTGGTCATGCAGGATTAGGACTGAACTCCTTGAACCCCTGCTCCAGTTCAAACTGTAAGCAAAGACTTTGTCAGTGAGTGTTAATGGGTCACGTAACAAAATCATGAGACAATGTCGTCGCTGACCGGTGTTGTTGATTTCGTGTCTGTTTTGAATCCCCAGGTTTGAAACATATGGCTGCTTTGCCGTTAGTATATTATAATTAGTGTCTGAGTGAAATAATGCTGTGTACCAAATACAATTGCAAGTTTTTTTTTTCAGAATTAAGCAAAAGCAATTCAGACTCTGGCCAAATCTTGATCAGCAATGTTCTCAAGGTCTCTAATTTGCATTCTGACAGAATTCACATTAACATAAGTCTGAGATTCGAAATTAAGATTATTGTACATTGAAACTAGATGCAATAGTAGAATCTCTTTAATATTTTTTCTGTTTTGTTTTCAAGCATATGTCCATCACTGAATAAAAAGTTGTCCACATTTGGTTCATCCCAGACAAATTCACTGATTGAAGGTAATCAAATTGCCCTTAGGCATTATCGTAAACTTTGTGCACTGATTGTTAAATGCTTAGTGAGCCTTGTATTGACTCAAATGTAATTGCATGTAAATTTTTTATTTTTGTGATGTTTAATTTATGAATGTTTTCATGTGCATGACGGTAAAAGTAAATATTTTGTCAAGGACAAGAAAATCAGTGTCAGACGTTAAAGATTACATGTACCGTGCAAAACAGCAACGGTTTATCCGCTAATGAGAGGGAATCATTTATTTTACCACTACATTATGTAGCTATTTCTGGGCTCCACTTTTATACTTAATGACTTTTGGTAATTTGTTGTAGATTCTCGCCTGGTGTATAATTGGGAATGTTGTTTCCAGGTTATATTTTAATTTTTAAAAAAGCATATCAAGAAAATATAATATTATTGCGTGGTTCTGACTTCCTTCCTTGCAGAAATGGCCAGATTTGGTTATGAGATGTTGCTGTGTCAGCTGGATGATACAGATTTGATCAAGGTAAGAGCCACATCCACTCTTGTGTAAGTAAGGTGAGGGAGTTAGGGCTACAGTCAGAGGTTTTTCACTCCATTTAGAGAGATCCGTTTAATATCTGAAAATGTCTTTTTAGTGGCTAGTTATTAAGTAATTGGATAGTACATCGAAGTGATTGAGAGCTCTGGACTGAATCCAGATGCAACAGAATGGATGACTAAAAATTTTAACCCAGTGGGAGTTTATTTTAATCATGGTCTTGTAAAATGAATCATGAAAGTCATTCACCTAGGGGTTGAGTTACGGGGTCTTTAAAATAGGGGTATGTCAGGAAAGCAGACACTAATGCAACCATAAGGTACAAAATGGTTCTCTTTTATTTATTGTGTAGGTAAACAAAACAATCACAAGCCAAAACAAAAAACCTTTTTTGAGTTGCTAATTAGACTTCTTCAACAGATCTCTACATATTATTAATTTGTAATTATTAATGGGCAGAGAAGCTGTTTACCAGCTATTCAAACATCTCTCAGTTACAGAGAGGGATTGGAGTGTCTATCTTCAAAGGTCTTCCCAGGTTTTCTGTACTCCTCCAGACTTTTTTTCTGGGTGAGTGTGCAGTGGCTGGGGTCTGTCCTCTGGTCCCCGATGGCAGATTAATTTTCTGCTCCTTTCCTGTTCAACTCTTACCAGACCAGTTCTTTTCCAGCGAGTGATCCAGGGACCAAGGACAGCAGGTCATTCCTCACAGCTCTCTGCTTTAGAGTCACTTTTCTGTATCTGAGACTTTTTAAATATAAGACATGAGTCATAAAGATGCTCCTGTTCTTTACTTAGGTGCATTAGTGAGCAAGGTTTGAATTTGAATGGTGTTTGACTGTGTGCCTCCAGGGACTGGCTCCTCCTTTGCGTCAGCTAGTGTTCCTGGAACAGCTCCTCAGTTTAGTCACGGTTCCTGACCTGCAGAGACACTCAGGGAATTCCTCTTCATCCACCAGGTGAGGGAAAACCCGACATAACTAGTGGTGAAATTGACAGGAATAGCTCATGTTCTCTGGGCATTATGGTTATTTCAATTCCCACACCTGCAATGCCCATGCATAATGTTCTGTTGAAGTTTCTGGTGGCACTAGGATTTGATTACAAGTTTACTACTAATTGGGAAAAGACTCCCCAAAAAAAAGGCTTTTTGGAGGAGATTGAGAGAGTGATAAAAGTCCTAAATGCCTGTTCCTTTTTTCAGTACATGCTGCAACCAAGTACGTTGTTGACACTGCTTTAAAAAGTATTTTCAAAAGCTGTTGCCACCATTGCAGGGGCAGTAAGACCATAAACAATGCACCAATAACAATAAATTTAACTAGGGCCTGTTATTGAAAAATATGAGAACATCTTTAGCTAAATTAATCACAGTTATGAGTGTTTTGGGCAGTCGAAAATGAGTATTTGTGTGAAGTAGCTGTAGAGGTTGTTAGGAGGCTCAGTGGTCCGATGGGTAACAGGGAATAGCCTGTTACCCAAAATCTTAAAGACGCTGATCCTCTGACTGATTCACTGGTTTACACTAAGCTTGCGATTTTCAGGTTCTACTGTAAGTGATCTTGTATCCAACAATATTGATTCTTTTATTACTCAGAGCCTACATTTAGTTTTTCGCTTGCTCTGTTCTCGCTCGTATGTTTCAGTGCGACAGTGTCTGTACCCGAAGACGTGAGCAAGAATACAGACTTCCTCAGTGATGTTCTTTCCAGTCCACATCTGCCAGAACTGCTAAACCCCTCTTGTAATCCCTGGCCTTCGGACATTCGGGAGCTGCTCTTCAGGAGAGAGCCCTCTGGCAAATCGTGAGCCCAGTTTCTCTTCATTCATTTTCTGAATTAATTCCGATCAGTTGCCAAGGAACTGCTGATGCTTTTGTCAGCAGCTCAGGTGTTGTGTGTCAGGTGGCTGAGATATTGCTTTTATTCATTGTGATATTTACGAATTTGTTTTAAAAGTAATACTTCTAACAGCCACTTGAATCTATCTCTTTGAGATGTATAACCTGTCACCCTGGTCTTTAGAGATCACATCATTACAATCAAGGCAACTGTAATTGCATGCTTCTTGTGTTTTTGTGCACAGATTTGTTTTCTGTGGTGTTGAAAGAGCTACTGTATGGTTAGAAAGATATTTGATCTCATTGGCTCCAGCACAAAACTGGTCAAACTGGCCAGTTAGTGCATTTTACACCATAATCTTCAAACTGTGCTGCTGCTTCAGTTGTGCTCCTGGTTTGTTTGTTTTTTTTAACACGTTATAGGAATCGCCCTGTGTCCAACAAAACAAAGGAGGGTTCCCTGAAGGAAGTGTCTGCTCTGCTGCAGAAAACCAACTCCGTCCTCAGTGACATTTACAAGGAGGTGAGCTATGGTAGTGTTGTCCCAAAATGTGGGGTTTCAGTGTCTGTCTTGTTCACTTAGCTCATCATGGATGGCATGGTCACAAGATGGCTGGTGCTGCCTTGGGTCCTGACGTTGGAATTGACCCAGGGCTGCGTCTTTATGGAGTTTGTCTCTGTATTCACGTGGGTTTTCTCCCGGTGCTCCAGTTTTCTGCCACAGTCCAGGCTACTTGACATCTCTAAATTGTCCCCTGAATGTATGTGCGTGTGTGCTGCAATAGATTGGCATCCCATCCAGGGTATAGTCTCCGCCGGCACTTTGTGCCTGCAGGGCAAGGCTTCAGTCCTGGCTCACTGCTGCCCCCTAGGGATGAAGCAGTGACTGAAAGTGAAATTCCAGAGGGTGATCTCTACAAAGTTTGCAGATGTGCAGCCTTTTAATTTGAGGATTAACTGACTTCTATATAAGAGTTTAAAATGAAAATGTTCTGTCTTGAAATATACCTGAGAGGCTGTTTTCCAAAGGTCCTACACTATGTATCGCTAACCAGTGCTCTCCTTCTCTCCTAGTGCACCTTTTTAAAAGCAGAGCATCCCAACAGCAGTGGCAGCAAAGGCCCCAGCATGTCTGGTCAGGCTTTGCAGGTAGCGCTGTCCGATCTCTCCCAGCTGATGTCGGCCTTCAGCCAGGTTTACGCCACAGATTTCCGGGACTACTGCAACAGAGAGCCCCCACAGCTCAGCAGCAATGCACACCTCTTCCTGTCTGTCCACCAGCTACTGCACACCTGCAATAAGGTATGTAGGGCAGCAGGATAGCTAAGGGACATCGCCGTATTCATATCAAACCCAAAGAATAAAACCATCTCCTGCAGTATATTAGTGGAGCTGGTTAGGCCAGTGGGCTTTGTGATTACTAAGTATTCTGCACTTTATCATCATCAGCACTTATTTTGCTTGACCGTTTTACCCATGGTGACTTTCCATCAAAAGGAAATGGGGCGCAGATGAAAAATACATTATATCCAGTATATTGTATGTTAAGGAAAACGTAATAGGTTTATTTGAGGCTGAAAAGAGAAGAAAGAAAACACAACGTTTCGTCTGTGGAGCCTTCTTCAGGTGTCATGTATGTTAAGCCTGTTCACTGCCACACGGGACAGTTTTACTAAGCACAGTAATCAATTTCAAGCTACGCAGCAGAATGTGGAGAATTCAACAATTGACACTGTGGACCTTCTCTGTAATGGGTGGTGTGCTGGAGACACATTTGTAGGGTGCAAGACAGTCAGACAGCAGTGTCTATTTGTGCTGTCTGAACAGGTGAACGCTGAGGTATTGGTATAATTTTGTAGGACACACAGCTTCCTGTTGAAATATCTCACACTTTTTTTCTAGTCTTAAAGGACAATATTTAATATATATCACTTGAAACTGATGACTGTTTGTCTTGAAGATTCAAGCTTATTTTATTTTAGCTGTGTGCAGTTGATATATTTTTTTCCCTTTACGGTAGGAGTACACAACTCCACTAACATACCTAGAGCATGGGGAGATGATTGTGAAATGGCTCCAGCTGAGCCAGTGTTTGCTTGAATGAATAATGGAAGGTGGAATCCAAATTGAAAGTCGCTGCGACCCTCTGTGGTCAGCCTTAGGTAGGCCTTGTTGTTACAGCTTGTTGAATTCCAATCTCTCGGGTGGAAGAAAATAAATGAACAAATCTTTGGTTTTTAGTCCTGCAAAGCTGAAACATATTTCTTTACAACGGAGCTCTGTTTCCTTGGAAAGAGTAGGAAGTGGTCAGGGGTGAGCCAGCGGGGCTTGTGAAACATGCAGCAGGGCAGAATCTGAGCCTCGCTCTTACACTAGCCCTGGTGTTGAGTGCACTGCTTCAGCCATGCGGTATGCCTCCCCATACATCCCTCCCCCTTGATCTCCGCCAGGAGCTGCAAGCTCTCCATCAGGCCACAGACACATCCAGGGCCGTGGTAAAGACTGTGGAGCAGCGACAGCAAGCACGACAGTTCTGGAGCAGAGGAGAAATGCACTCCCTGCGTGAGTACAACATACCCCATATCTCCCCATGAAATCGGGCATTTTCACGAGGCTCTCTTCACTTTCATCTGCTTTTCTCCAGATGTACAGCAGTTACCATAATACTGTTTCTCTCCAGTTGTTTAAAAACAATTTTGTGCATTTGAGCACGTAACACTTCTCTGCCTTCTGAAAGGTAACAGTGCTGCTGCAATGGCTTAAAAGCCCTGCAAACTAAAATGGACTGATGTTCAGGTAATACGAGGTACAGATTTAACAGTTTTCTCTATTTGGTTCCAATCAAACAAGATCTAACAAGACGAGATGCACCTCTCCTGATACTGCTAAATAAAGTGCCAGAAGTATGTTGCGTAAAGTGTAGAACACCCATCCTGGTGACCCACACTCCTGTAGGTTTTTGTTTCAACCTAGCCCTCAGTTCATCAATCAAACCCTTCATGAACGTAATAAGATTAATTTGAACTGTTTGGTCCCAGTTATTAAACATGTTGGAGCTTTAACTGGTGTATTTTGTGATTGAAATAAAATCCCAACCTTGTGACTAGCAACAAAATGCAAATGTTCAGCTGAAGCAACTTCTTAGATCGAGTAAGGCTTCAGTTATCTAACTGAGGTGGGATGGAATGAGAACCAGCAGGTATGTGAGTCACCAGGACCAGGACTGGGACCCAGGGGGCTGAAGAATGTGAATTGAAAGGGTTACAGTGAATAGATGAGCAGTCTACTTTTTTGGTAAGTGCAGTGAAATTTTCAGGTATCAGAAATAGCTTAAAGTGAGTGTGTTATTTTTTCTTTACTTCTAAAAACTCATTACTTCAAAAGATGTACTGTAAGCCCTACCGTAACACACCATTCTCCAACCCTGGTCCTGGGGAAACCCCGTCGGGCAAGTTTTATTTGTCACCAATACATCACCTTTGGAGCAGTTTCATTGTGATTTAATGAAGCAACTGATTTGCTAAAGTACATTAGAGATCAACTTAGATCACAGTCTTCAGCCCTAGAGACCAGAGTTTTCTCATCTGGACAAGACTTGTTCAATTAATCTGTAACTTACAAATATTCTTAAATTTCAGAACCAGGTGACCTACAAGACTAGTTAGATCAGGCTTCTCCACACTCTGATTTGGAGACCCATTGTATTACTGTATATATAGGCTTCACTGCTCTCTTTTTTTCCAATCACTTTAAATTCCTTTAGTTTACCAAGTGAAATGCTGGTATATCCTTGGTCTCTTCTCTGAAGCTGGCAGAATGTTTATAGGGAGCAGGTCTTCACATGGAGTGTGTGAGAAAGCTGAGTTGCAAGGAGATATTGGGAGGTTGCAATTAGTTTTTGCACAATGCTCTGGAACCCACTTCAAGCATTGAAGCATGACATGTTCATCACAGGATACTGGTAGAAATCCACTGGATTTTATTTTCACCATAACTCAATTTATCTTATGTGTTATTTATTTCCAAATATTTGGGACTTGTAGTGTAGTTTCAAGAGCCTCTTTTTTCGCTGACTCTGCTTAACACTAAACATTTAAGCAGAAACTAGAAAGCCAGAGCTTTGCCCACAATGGGCAATAAAACAAGTAGGTGGTAATCAGAAAAAATCTAATCTAAGATTCTTGTTTTCCTTTTTTCGTCTTTAGCTACAAAATTAGAAGAGCTGAAGAAAAAGTATGAAGAATTTTTGTCACTACACCAGAGGTCAAAGGATTGGGAGTAATTTGAAATCGCAAGCTATCGGACTTGTGCTGCAAATAAAAATTTCAATGACAGTCAACTTATTATACAGTTTTCACTAGCACAACTTGTCCTTGTTTTTCCAGAAATGATTTTCATAATGTTTTAAGAGCTACAGTACTAGTTTACTGTCATGTGACTGTCATGTGACTGATTAATCATTTTCTATTCCTGAATTGATTGTCCATTTGTTTCTGATTTATACACTTAATATTTTGGTATTTTGTCTGTCATTAATATGCAATTAGCAATCTAGTTTATACATAACCTCTATTATGTAAGGGATAATATAAAATGTATCTGTGTATTATCACCTCGAAATTGTGATTGTAAATATTTCATTTTCTAATTCACTTTTTATTGGTAGGTGATCTTATTTAAGATTTGCTTTGAGGCTTCAGAGCAAATTCCATCAGAGTTAGGTATACTTAATTTAACTTAGTTCTGATTAAAACAGCACTTCATTTTATACAGTCTTACTGTTGTGAAAGTCTGGTTTGTACTGTTCTATAACTCACAGAAGTTTGACAGTAAAATATGACAAACTTTATTGTCCCCTAGGGGAAGCAATTTATGGACACACAGCACTTCTGTACATCTGAATACATCACAGAACATTACACCACATCTATTGCACATGCAAAACTAGTTACAAACATAGCCATGACAAATTACACATTTTCCGTGCTGAAAAGAGGAGAAAAGAAACAACGTTTTCGACCGTGAAGCCGCCTTCGGGCTCTTCACCTCTGTTTTTGAAATCTCCAAACAGCTAGTCAGCAGCCTCAGCAAACGCTTTTATTACTTCTCGATCCCTGAATGATTTTTTTTTGTTTAGCCAGGACGTGGCTCACACGGAACGATGCGATGATTGCCGCGTTCCCTCTTGTATTAGGCCTCGTGAAAACTAGTTGAGATTTTAGTTTTCCACTTTTCTTTTCCGTAAAGTCCACATCATACGTTTTGTGTGCAGTTTTGAAAAGTTGGTCTATATTTCCCTTTTTCGCGAAGACGCTAGCATTGCAGATTTGAATGCGAAAGTACCAAAAAAAAATCATGCTCCTATTCCTTGTGGTAACGGTGAGTTTTCGGTCTCTTTGCTTAATCATTTTCGCTCAAACACTCCAACTATCAAATAGGTAATCAGACTTATCAAACTGTTTGCGAATTTGTCACGGCCAGTCTATTTCACTCCACTAGCGAATGAGGGGTTTGTGCGCCAATAACCAAGTATTCTTGGGTAGCACACACAATACTATTTATTTACGGAGCTCCTGTATCCTTTTTTCCCCAGTGTCAACCAGCACTCAGGGAAGAGACTTTTACAACCCATTTGGCAAGGGTTAAACACACACAAGAGCGGTAAAATGTATGACATTACATGCACAGATCTGAAAAATTTTAGGCTATCGAAAAAAGTAAATAGTCAAATAGCCCTTTTATTTTTTGCCAAACATTCTTGCAAGCGATCGATTGGTTGGGCACCCCTGCTGTATATACTTCATTACTCTGGCTTTTCATGAAAAAATAAACATTTGGGACTGTATTGCTTTGGCTGTTCACTAATTCAAAAATGCTTTGCGTTGTAATGAATCAGCCATTTGCCCCACATCGGATTGTTCGTGAGAGGTAACACTCCTTGTGACAAGTATCCAAAACAAAGCAATAGCCATGGACACTGTACACAATTCCCCACACAACTAATGCCACGTGATAAACCATCCAAAAAAAGCTTGGCACAGGGACCTGTTGAATTTCCCACCGACAGTACTTACAGTAACATGAAACAGAAAGTAAAATAATTGATAAAGGACAGGAGCACATATCTTGAGTGCTGTGATCCAAGATCTTCAATTGATTAAGGTAAGCCAGTAATATAGAACTTTGTTTAGTTTTCTAGGTGATTACTTTTAAAATAAGAAGGGGTGCTTTAATCCCCATATGAGTTAAGTGCCAATGTGTTCTAAATAGCGGGCTGAATGTTTTCTGATTGCAAGTGTGGGTATAAATGTTTATGACTGGGTTTTTGTAACCCGATATCCACTTATCTGGGACTCCTTTAACAGAGGTAAATTGTATGTTCTGAACGCATGGTGCAGCTTGTGGTCATCCGTGTTGAGAGAAAGATTAGCATGCTGGGGCCTTCCTGTTGAGTGCAACATACCCCACCACTCTGAATGCTTCATCATTCACTTAGTGGAAAGAGGACAGCTGAGCATGTAGAGATTTCCATCCTTAGTGTTTGGACGTTATTACAGCTTTGGCACCTATGGTAGCGGTTATGCTGTGGTTTTTACAAGATAAAAGCAGGAAAATGTATTCCACTCTGCATATGGTATTATAGAGGATCAGGACCTCCTGATTCTATAGCGTGCAGGTACCCAAAGTACAAAGTTTAGTTAATTGGGTGAGGAACTGTGGTGTCACTGACAGAAAGGGCAGAACATTCAAACCCACAATATTAATTCTCGACAATCAGTTGACTATTTCTCATCTAATAACATTATGCCTTCAAAAGCGATTGTTCACTTTACATTCCGGCAAAGACAACGTGAATCTGTTTTTGAAGTCCTCAAAGACATTGACGAAGACACTTACTGGATTTCTATAGAAACTACAGTGAAACGTGGACCAGAGGACACAGGTGGAAACTACAGGGAGGCGCATTACACATTTACAACTGAGAACAGGAGACACTTCTTTACATTAAGGGTTGTAGGAGTAGGGAACAAGGTACTTTTAAAAGCTGGTTGGATCACTTGGCTAATTGTAACTGAACAAGAAAGATGGGCCTAATGTTCCCCTTTTTATGTAAACTTGACGTTCCTAATTGCATAGAAAGCTTACTGGTATCAGCTTCAGCTTTGTAATCTGTTTTTGGGGAGATTTTGCTGGGTTTGCATAGCACAAATAGGCAGAAGTGGCAATACCCTCTAAATATGCACGTACAGTAACATAATACATACCTTTCACAATAAGCAAAATCTGCAAAATAAACATCTGACAGCAAGGCAGGACTGGAAGCCGTGTGACTGAGAAGAAGTTGTAATGTTTTCTTCTGTGCAAGTATTGTCAGTGTTGAAGTGATACTGAATATGATTGCAAAAGCTTTTCTACCACTACGGAGGTAAGCAGCAAAGTCAAAACATTTGTTCTCTGTACTGATACACGTTAAAACTGACTTTTGCCTTTGTTTGTTACATTTTTGTGTGTTTTTAATTACAGATAACATGAAAATGATTTTGCTGAGAGCAACACTGACAGCAGCCATTCTGCTTTTCGGTAACTTTTAAACCCCCCTGAATTTAATTCTGGACTTTGTATTACTGGAATTTTCTCCCAGCCTTCACCTGTTGTGAGACATTTTTCTGCATTGAACTGCTCTGTCTTTCTTAACTTTCAGAAAACAAAAAACGACGAGAAAAGAGATTATAGTTTTGTAGCAAAAACAAAATCAGTGAAGTATTGCGTTTACCAACACAAGTTTGGTCATGTAATGAATCAACAAAACTGGAAATTCACCTGTTTGCCTGTATGTACTGTACATTTCACTGTTCTCTTGCCTTTTCAAACCTTTCAGCTGCGAGTTCCACCAGCTGCCTGAAGGTGCAGTTCCCAGGCCTGCATACAGACGTAGAAGGTACAGAAATAGGGTGCAGACTACAACGGGCAAGGCTCCCAAACCTGGAAGCTGCATTGCAAAGCATTGAGGCTGAGATACAAACTCCCCCAGTGTAGGAAAATAGTGCCACCTTGTGGAAGTTGTTGGGCCCTAACCTATATACATTAAATACCTCCCAGCAGACACCACCCACATACTGTAGCATAATGTAAAATTAACCTTTATTGCCCCAAGGGAATTTGTCCTGAACATCAAGAGCTCATAAACATATAACATACACAACAATAATACAATAGAACAACAGTACAATACCATGATACAAAACAACATTTAACAACCTCACTGGAACAAAGCACGTAGATAAATACTGTCGCATGGTGCAGCCAGTGTTGAAGAAGAAAAAGGAAATTTCTTTTTGCAAAGGGTCTTCTCTCTGGGTTTCCACAAGGATTCTCCCCCCAAAAAACAACCAAAAATAATGAACTGAAGGACACAAGAACAAGGAGCTACAGAAATGCAACTCGCTGTAGTTCACTTGGTTTCACTTGATTCGTCTCCATGGTGTCCAGCAGCTCAGCAGGCTGTGGCCTGAGCCCTGGCTGCTGAAAACAGACAAGACTGTGCAGCACTGCAGTGGCTTATAGAGTCTGATGGTACCTGGACCTGCTGCTGTTCAAGCTGGTAGCAGGCGAGACCCCTGCATCAGCATCTGTTGTTCGTCCTGGACAATTGGCTTCTGAAGACTTGAGACACTAGCACCTTTCAGAAGATAGTTTGCTCAGCAGTTTTTAGGGATCTAATAAAATGTGAACACCCTGCGGAGCTGCCCACATCTCGAGCTCTTGTTGGACCGTGCAAGTGCAGCAGGTTCTTTGATCATTTTTTGTGGTTTGACCATCAAATGCACATCTTACCACTTTACAGCCAGAAGTGAGGAACATGAAAATCTCTACCCTTTAATTACATCTTATTTCAGCCAGGAGGTGGTATTGCTGTGTGCAATTAAGAAACACCCCAATATCTGGAACAACTGACCTGACATTATTAGGATTTTGAAAGTGTTAGTACTTGATCTTGTTTCAGATCTGTCTCCATGGAATTATCTGAACAGGCCCAATTAAGAAATACGTCACAGGTTGTTATACACTGTAGGTAGATGACTTGCCATTTGTGTTTACATATATAATAATTATTTAGGAAAAAAGTACCTAAATCAGTTACTCACAGCTCCAGTGAAGTGAGGAAATGTATTAGAATATTCCTACAATCACATGTCCCTCACAGCCTTGCCTCTTCAGGATGCTCTTTTTCATTTCTGTAGCTTGTTTACAGCGTAGCTGCGCCAGGAATATCGACGTCTGTGGGGAGACACATGGGCAGGCTCTCACAAACAAGCTGAAAGGTGCGTGCCATCAATTGGGAAGAGTGCTTATCAAATACTAACTTTACTTTTTGTAATCTTATCTGGACTATCTAAATATAGAAACAAGTCAATAAAAGAGCAAATAAAATCTTCTGCTTGAAGAACATTTCATGTTCATAGATGTTGTAGCCTTAAAAACAAACAAGTGCAGCTCTTGAGATGTGAGGATGTGTGAAAAGGATTGAGATACATCTCAATACAAGCCATCTTTTTTTACCCAGGTTGCATTGTGCAGAAGTGTCAGACCATGGCCAAGCGCTGTATAAGGGACGTTTTTAATACCTTTGCTACTTTCATAGGTAAGAGTACATCTTTTTTTAAACAGCCTTGCCTTTTAATGCCTTAAGTGGAACCAGAACATGACTCACTTTCTCTCTCTGCGCGTGGCACGGTGTGGTCCTTGTTAGCAAAGGTTTATGTTTGTTTTCCCATATCCAAAACAGGAAAATAGATTCCAAAATGCAAAACCAAACAATGCAGTTCTGAAGCGCAATATCATATCTTCACCATGACGACCATTCTATGCACTTGTAGACTAGATCTATCAGCAGCTTTTCAAAATTGAAAAAAAAAAGGTGATAGAATGCATTTTCATATCTATGAAGGATTCCCACAAACAGCACTAGAGATTACTTTTATATCTACAAACGGTTCCCTCAGACAGTTCAGCACTAGAAATTACAGCTGATGTGGAATGTCATTCTTTTTTCATTAACAGATGGGCCATACAGCTCAGAGATTAAAACCATTGGAGGTATGTATACACCCAGGCGGTTCTGTGAATGGTGGAGGTTATTTCAGTCAGGTTTACCAGCAGAGAGGTGGACAATCTGGGATTCAAAGGAACATCCTGTTGTCACCTTTTAAATGATAATTTGCTTGGGTTAAGGAAACACTGATGGGTACAGTGAGAAAACTGGATAGGGCTGAAAAACGTATTAGATGTTGGTAAACCTTGATTAACGTGTGATATTTGCTTTAATGCCATTGGGGACAAGACCTGGGAAATGTAAGAAATTTTCACTACCCGCTGAATGCCAGACTGGAAGAGCCAAGGTGGGCTACCTCTACTCTGGGCTCTCGCAGTGTTCTGTTCCAGGGCTATTTAAGTTGCTTGACTGCCCCACAAACAGACACACAAGTAGAGGATTTTGGGCTTGTGAGAGGAGTTTGTCCACACTTCCTCATTCTCCCCTGTGTGAGGTCAAGTGGTTCGTAGCTGAATTCTAAATCAGGCAGGTACAACAATCCTAATGAGCTACAGTGCAGAAAACCCACAGTTCTTTCTGGCTGAGTCTTTTGGATTGACCCTGCTACAGTGATACGGTTTGACATTGTATAAAAAACAACACTGGGCCAGCCAGCAGCTGAAGAAGGACTGTAAGTTCCAATAAAAACCATATAGTCCTGCTAATTTTAGTTGGGCTTTTCAGGCCAGTTTATTGTGAAAACAACAAACAGTGAGACTACGAGAATCAGGAGCTCCATCTCTTGAACATCACCAGGAAGGCCTTCACATCACTGGTCTCCCCAGCAGGACGAAGTGCATTGCTCAAGTATAGCGTCTCATAAGTGCCCTCTGGGAGCTGGTCCCTTCACACATTTGTATGAGTATCAGATCAGAGATCAGAGTATCATTTCTGTTCTTTTCCTGATACAGTTTTTGAATCAGCCAGTTCATTTCATAATCAAGCTCTGTATGCTGCTGCTCTCTGAAGACATCACTGCTGTGCATTGAAAGTCAGATAACGTATCTGAGGAAATCTTCAGGACTTACAGGATGATACCTTGTGTTTGTTTCCTAACTTAGTCCTTAAAAATTTCTCCACCATGTAAGTTCTAGGGATATGGTCCTTGTCTTTCAGTTGTTATTCATTTCCTTCACATATTTAAGCAGCTCACAAGGACAGAACCTATTCTGTTTTCTACAATATTAAGATTAGTAGAGCTTTCAACTCCTGTTCTCTCTGCATGACATTTGTACAGGTTTATTCTGAAGCTAAACGAATTGCAGTATTATGTTTTGTTTGAATTGGAGCCAACAGTCTGAAAACTTCAAATACATTTTTTGCATAAAATTATTCTTGTAAAGAAATCTAACCACAAATGTGCCGTGGTACAGAACGTCTCTCTGGGTTTTTTATCCTTTCTTCAGAGATTCTTGTGGAATACTTTGTCCAGTACTACATGGAGTGCTGGCAAACAATGAACGCTGAAGATCTCAAAGAAACAGCAGGTAAACTTACTCAAACCAGAATGTGACGAAGACTTTTCACTTACAGGTAGCTGAGGTATATTTATTGTCTCTTGTAAAACCTGTTCATGTTAATCAATTTGTTGTTTTTTTCTGTCCCTTAATCACATTTTGTCTCACTTGGATTCACATCAGACCTATGTGGCATCTGTTTACAAATACTATCTAAGTATCTACGGTACATTCTGCATAAATACTGTATATTTTAACCATTGAGAGGGATTGATCTGAGCCATTTACTGTACCTGGAGAGTACAGTAGCTCTAGAATGTGGAGAGAGGGCTCTAGAATGGTAACTGGGCTTTAGGAAAATAGCAACCAGTCTCTACATGTGGCCTATGTGTGGACAAGGTGGGAAAGGAAGTTGAAAATACCTTTTTCGGTAAGAGTCAAGCGTGTCTATTATCAAACTGAATGGATTTAGAGATGAATTTTTGCAGAGGCATATTTAGTGATTATGCAGACACCTGCAAGATGTAGTGGTTATGGCTTTAACACCTGTCTGTGCGAATTTCCCTTGCAGTGTGTGTGGCCAACAAGCAGATCGATAAAGTACAACCGGTCCTCACTCATTTTGCCAGGATGATTTTCAAAAACCCAGGTACAGTTAATCCTGTTAATATTTTCTCTGCACACAGGTTGCGTGGACAAAACGTGATTTACAGCATTCCTCCTTTTCAACATAGCGAAGACCTCTCCTGACAGTGAGAGTTTTACTGAGAGTGCTGAACGTGTTCATTGCCTAGTGATGTTACCACCACTCATCCTGCTGTTCTCAGGCAGACTGACCGAGAAATCTTCCACCTAGTGGGACTACTGAAGAACTGAGAGAAGCAGCTTCCAGACTTTACAGTACATGGACAACAGTGCATTGATTTACATTTCTTGCATTCCTGTTTCGTGGGCCAGTGAAACATTTCATGGCCTGGATAATATGTATCTTTGAAACTGTGGAAATAATTATACAAATACTGTATATGATAGACAATTAACAGTTTTGGTAACAAAGATTGGAAAGAAGGATTGTTGGGGTAGAGCTACAGACTATATATCAGAAATAACCTGTAAGCCAGGGGGATCAGGCAGTTCAGAATATATATGAGTTCAATTAGAAAATAGAAATTAGAAGGGCTTAATGATAGGTGTTTGTTATAGACCACCAAGTAGTTTACTTGGTAGGAGGAGCTTACTTTATTGCCTTATTATGGGATCAGGAAGGGTAAGTAGCAAAGATGAGGCATTGGGAGACTTCAACTTTCCAACTTAATTCCATACAAAATGGAGTTATAGTGATGGAAAAAGAAAAGTTGATTTTGATATGTTATGGATGCTAATTGTTTCTTAGCCCCGTTATTAAAAGTACTGTGACAACTTCAGAGTATCTGGTCAGTGGAGGTGAGTTCTTACACTAGTCTTCTAGTGTGAAAATTGAGTAGTTTCTTTTTTCACATTCCAGATTGTAATATGAGTGAAAGGCCTAGTCCAATGGACTAGTGTGTGGTGTCAGAGGACTCTCTTATATGGACAGATTAAAGGAGCTTAACCTCTTCAATTTGGAACAAAGGAAACTGAGAGACTGGGTCCAAGAATACATAATATCTTAAAAGCCATAGGATGGGTCAGGCCAAGGGACTAATTCAAGCCCTGTGGTTGAATGAAAACATCATTTAGGATGGAGAATTGTGGGTATCTGGAACAAGCCACATGTCTGGGACATTTTCTGGGCAATATGGGAGCTCCTTGAAGAAATGGCTTCTGTGAAGTACATTCACTTAGCTTCTGAACTACGAAACAAGCAAGATGGGCCTGTTCTCATTTGCCATCTTTCTTTCTTATGTGCAAAACCAGGGATGAAGCAGAATGCATTTGTGTTAGATGGTGGAAAACACTCCAGTCCAGATGCACTTTAATAATTAAGATTATTTAAGACCACATTCCTGGTCCTAGAGGGCGGGGTGTCTATAGGTTTTTCTAGGTTTATTTACAGCAGCAGGAATTAATAAACTGGTCCAGTCAAGCTGGTAACAAGCTGATTTGGATCTCTGGAATGTAAACCCCCAAACACACTGGCTGTCCAGGACCAGGATTTTGACGGTCCTGGATTAGCTGGAAAAATATGGCCTATATGCATCTGCTGCTTTCTTTTTTTTTAATTTCTCCCTTGGTGTAATTGTTTTATCCTTTTGGTTTTTGGGGGCGCTGAAGAATATATGTCCTGCTGGCTTACAAAGTCTATGAAAGGCATCGTGATGTGCTATGACCACCATTATGACACCAAGGACCTCATGCAATCAAGTAAGAATGTCCTCAGTGCCGGCCACATTACTGAAGAACAAGAATATTACCTGATACTCTTTTCTTCATGAAAAAGTCATATAATATTTAGCAAATAATATCTTTGTACTCATGATGTATTACTCAGTGCATGTAAGTTAGTCAAAACAACAGAAAAGCACACAAACTGGTGAATCACATGCACACAGCAGCAAATTCAACTAAGCAAAAATTAGGAGCATACAAGGCTGTGTGTCGCTAGTTTAGCTCATATATCTGACAGTCATGAAGACCGTGTATGCAACAATATTCCAATATTTAAAGTGGCCTTGTCCGGTTGAGAAAAATAAATCTTTGCTGGAGCCCAAAAGGGTTAATTCACTAGCTTTTTCCAAAAGACACACTTTCTTTCTGTTATTGACTAACAAGCCCTGTAATGTCTTTCCACAGAAATGTTTACTGAAAGTCGGACGAAGACGAACTTAGCAGGTATGGTTCTAGGAGAGATGTGTCTGAAAGAGTCTTGAATATCTACTGTCCTTCACTGTAACTTGGAGGACTTGTACCTAATAATGAAATGTTGAATACATTACGTTTACTTGACAAGACCTCCAAATGATTTATCCTGTGCTGATTTATTGAGATTTCCAAAACAACATACTCTGCAGGGCTATTCAAAATTATTTCTAATTATAAACATTGACTATCTGTAGTTGAGCAAATATTGCAGGAAGAAAGCAAAGGCCAAATCGCTGTGGTCAATATTCTGTCACTTGTTTTCCTTATTGATCATGAAAGTGTTTCTAATAGGCCGTAAAATTAGACTGCATATATCTTTGCAAGAGGTCACAAGGTCACTCATGTCCTGTAATATATTTGGTCCTTTCAGGAAGACCGTAAATGACAGGCAAATGTTTGCATTTGTATATTGTTTAAAATTGCCCCCCAGAATGCAATTATTTGGAAATGACCAAATCGGATTAAATAATTTTAAGATCTCTAATAATAAGTCAAAGTATTTAATATTATGCTTCTAAGTTCATACTGGCCCTTTAAGAGCAAGCTCCCTTTAAATTATTAAGGCGAGGGCACTGTTGTTATAAATTTAATTTCAGCTTCCAGTCCCATGATGTACCTTATGTTTGTAAAGTGATGCCAAATCAAATAGATTAAAATTATATGTTTGTGGTCACTACCTTTGCTCAAATGTCACAGCTTGATTATTAGAACAAGTGTGTGCCACAAAATCTCACTGTAATGCTCACTTTAATAAAGAAATAAGTGTCACAATTACAACTCAGTCTTCTGCTTTTCAGTTTTCTGGGACCGCAAGGCAGTAAATAAGAGAGAATAGAGGATCACAGTGCTGATCCAAGGGGACTGCTGCGTCTGTTAGTCTTTGCTCCAGTCGGACCCTCAATCAGCAGTACTAAGTGGAGACTCTAGCTGATCTGCTTGCAGGTTTAGAGTTTTTACTGCACTCAGTGCTTTGTTTAAAAAAATATTTCCAACACTGTCGGGATACAGACCTCTATACAGTCTCTCCTCAACATGCTAACTTCAAACGTGCTATCATGATCATACCATGAACATTATCATATTTTGGAAACTCAGACCAGAGTGCTGGAAAAAGCCTTAATAAGCAAAGAGATTAAAAAAATCAAAATGTTGTATCAATCTGTTCACCATTTTGTTTTGTCTTGTATTTTCTGTGGCTCAGAATACTCCTTGCCATGATACTGTAATCACAAATAATTGTGCAGGATCTTGAGGATGTTTCCTCCTTGCCCCTGCAGTATAAATACCAGCTGAGAATGTTAGTGACTAATCATCAGTGTGTGCCAGGGTCTGGACATTTGGTACTGGACACGCCCCACTCTGTGAGGATGAAGAGTGAGCCTGATCAGGCCTGCTGATGAATACAGGCCTTTTATCCCTCTTGTTAGAGGATATTCGGTCACCTTGCCCATCTTTCTGAATGTCCTATCTTCTCTCCAGGTTACCTGTCCTGTCTTAGAAAAGGCTTCTTGAACGCAGGACCGGAGTGTCAGGAAATGTTTGAGGCCATGCTTGGTAATTTCAGTTCTGTTTTTGTTACTAATACTGCATGAAACACTTACTGTATGTGGTTTACGTGAAGCAGTTGCATAATATTCAGCGGACAGAGGCCAAGTATTTTGAAGAACTCCTTTCTTTCTCTTTCTGACAGATAAATCTGTGTCTTCCCACAAAAAGTGGCAGATAGTCAATACAAAATATTGCAGGTTGTTCTTACAGGTTTCTACGATCAATCTCTTCAGTCACTGAAACCACTCGCAGAAAATGGAAAATCTCAAGAACTATTAGGCTTCTTTACAAGTAAAGACCTTGCGCCACAGAACTGAGGTACAGTTTTAAAAGTGCTGTAAAAGAGCAGAATATTACTTCAATGAAGTAGTCAACCCATCAAATATCTTTAAAAATAGGTGAGCTGAAAGGCCGACTCTTTATTGTCAACTCTTTGTTCTTTATGCTCTTAATATGTTTTGGTGAATGAAATCCATAGTCCAGCAGATTTCCTAGTCTTGATTAATGCCTGTAGTTGCAATCCTAGGAAGAAAAGCAGCCTAGTGATCAAATAAGTCTTGATGTGTATCACTGGCTATAACAAAGGACAAGTAGGAAGTATGGATCCTGTGCAGGGCTCAGGAGAGAGAGAGAACACCAATCCAAATCTCTAAGCAAAACATAATCCGGGAAACAAGCAAGAAGGTCAGAAAATGATAGAGACTACTAGAGAGCAACATTTATCAAGGCTAAATCATAGAAGAGGGGCCATATCACTCTGCAACTCACAACTGGCACCCCCACTGAAGCTAAGCAGGTGTGAGCCTGGTCAGTACCTGGATGGGAGACCTCCTGGGAAAAACTAAGGTTGCTGCTGGAAGAGGTGTTAGTGGGGCCAACGGGGCACTCACCCTGCAGTCCATGTGGGTTCTAATGCACCAGATAACGGGGACACTATACTGTAAATAGGCACCATCCTTCGGATGAGACGTAAAACCGAGGTCCTGACTCTCTGTGGTCATTAAAAATCCCAGGGCGTTTCTCAAAAAGAGTAGAGGTGAAACCCCGGCATCCTGGCCAAATTTCCCATTGGCCCTTACCAATCATGGCCTCCTAATAATCCCCATCTCTGAACTGGCTTCATTACTCTGCTATCCTCCCCACTGATAGCTGGTGTGTGGTGAGCGTTCTGGCGCACTATGGCTGCCGTCGCATCATCCAGGTGGGGCTGCACACTGGTGGTGGTGGAGGGGAATTATTATAATAAGCTAGAAGTTCAGATACCGAATAGTAAGTAGAAGCAAAAATAACGCACACTAGGAAGCTTGAGGTGAATCCGCAATAGTGAGTGGGGAAGAGGGGAAATGAAATAGTGACAGGAGTGAACAGTGATACAGTAGGTACATTACCTGCGGCGTGAGTGTTTTGTTAAGCACAGTGTGCGTGGGAATGCGTAACACTGGCCTGACTGATCAGTATAGGAGTGCTGTGAGTGAGTCCTGATTCCTGATTATTGTGCTCAGTAAGCAGAGCACTGCTGGAGACACCATGTAACATTTTCTATTAAAAACTAGCTAGCATGCTGTCCAACAATCTGGGGGGCTGAGTGTGACTGAGACAGAAGAGAAGTCACATTAAAACATGTAATGTCTTAACTAATGAATAAACTTGTCCCGATTTACCTTGGTCCTTGAATGCATTTTAAATTATACAGGGCTGTCACCTGCATCAGATCTATGATTTAGTTACTGGGTAATGTCTCATTATCCTCTGTGCTACTTTCTTTTACCACTGCCTGAAAGTGTTCTGTTCCAAGAGGTCAATGTTCAACAGTCTCAGCTTCATAACTGATCTAATTACTTCATCAGGTGCTTGGCCTGATGCAGTGTTATGAATAATGAGAAAGCCCTCAGGGAGTTGATCTCCAGAGCAGGATTTGATCATTGATTACTGATCTTGACACAAATCAGGCTTACAGCAGAAACAGGTTAACTTCCCAGGGTTCATTTATTCCTGACTTCCTTGTTATTTACTGTTTTTGACAGCTGTCAAAAAAGGAAAATCCTTGGGTAAGTGCATCGTGCATTTTTATTCTTCTCACTGTGTCAAATGGCGATCTTTTCGCTTTGCTATTATATCTTTATTGTATTTTACAAAAAAATCATATTTCCACGACTCAGAGAAAACAGACCCCAATTCTAATTTGAAATGGAGTCTCTCCAGATCTCGCGTGACTTGTCTATGTCTCTGTGCTTCGAGAAAAAGGCCCAAAGCAGTGAAAGTCTGGCCTGTAAAGGGCGGCGTGACTGGGGATGAAGAGAGTGAAGAGATGACTAAACTTTCTCCCACACGTGATCTCTCATGAGAGCCGTTCATCTTTCAGCCTGGGATTACATTACCATATTAGGGCATCTTTTCCACAGGTCTCCTGTTTGTGCCTCCCACTTAAAGGGGAGTTAACTGTCCAGTTGTGCCTCTTCTTCCAGTCCACGTCTGTCTGGGCCTGAACACAGCTGACCTGTACTGAACTGACTGGTGATCAGAGTGTTTAGCTGGTCTACAATAACCTGTATAAGTACTGTATCCTGTATACACCTGCAACACCTAAAGGAGTTGGCAGGTACTACTATATGCATATCCCCTCCCATACTGTATATTACTACTTATTGAGTCTTTCATTAATTTACTAATTGGCATGAGTAAAGTAGTTTCTCTTTCTTAAACGGAGCTCATGAGCAAGCAATGTCCTGAAGAGTCTGACACAGTCTTGTGTGACAGAACAGGTCATGACTGGGCTGTAGAGACACCCTCTCATGATCATCTGTCATACTTGGGTGGTTTGCAAAAAGCTCCTAGCTCTGAAAACACCTATTGCTGGCTACCTATTTTTGTGTAAGAGGAGCCGAACGACCTTGTCTGTTGTTTCAGAAGTGCCAAATGACTTTGTTTCTTCTTTCCCTCTTTCAAGATTATTTCCTGTGCTCACTCCAGGAAGTGATCGTCGCCACAGCTAAATGCTGATATGTGCTCTGCTGCAGGCTGCCCTGTTCATGCCTTGTATTTAATTCACTTATATGTTATTTTCTGTAATTAACTTTCAAATGAAATCTACTCCATGCTAAAACATTGAATTAAATGCCATCGATTGCTACTTAAATAACTTAAGACTAAACTGTACAAGTGAATTAGAATTAATGTTTTGTTCTTACTGCACTGATATTTTACATTGAGTTTAATGTAATAAAACACTTTCAATGATAAGTGTGTTACTCCTGACTCTTTATTCATCTAACTTGTGGCATGGAAGAACCTCAAAATGAAAAGAAACAGGTTCTTTGTTGTTGGCATTGGTTTCAGGAAATGAATTCAGTTTCAGATGTTTTAAATTGAAAATGAAAGCTGTGTTACCAACATTCTAGACATTCTAGACACTCAGATGCTCATATTTCAGCATTCAATTAGCCCAACGATTACTTATAATATTAAAATGATGAATTATCGTGCTAGGATGCATCTCTTTCTTTTATGTTCTTTTCTTTCTGTGCCTGTCAAAGTCCCTTGTGCAAGAGTGACCCCTGATTGCCAACAGTATTTGAAGACACCAATGGAACTGGTGCTTGATCCAGACTAACCCCTAAGCTTTGCCAGGAACAAAGCCTCTCTGCTCTCATGTAGGACAGTAGCCAACACAGTGCTGGGAGAATTGCTTTGGGAGCATTTCATGTGAATAATAACCTACTAGCTCCACTCTGTGTGATACTTACTACAAATTAAAACAGCTGTTGTGTGTGGGTGTTCCTGTTTCTCCTTCTCTTAGCTCACTCGAGATCCCATTTTTGTGGCTGATGTGCTCTGCGATGAGCTGTCCGAGATTTCGCAATAGATGTCATGATGAGGAATATGTGCATCACTGTATACATTTTCTCTGAAGTTTCACATCCTAATGTTCTTACTCCATGAACAAGTTGTTCAGTTAGGTGTCGAGGAATTGCCAGAATTCTGTCAATTTCCAGGAATAGAAATACATGGCAATTTAGAGGATGTGAGAACTCAGCTCATTAAATTACGAACTACAGTGCCTTGTATCGGACTGTGCTCAGTTATTAAGCAGCTTTTATTATCATACGGTAACATCAGTAATCTGACAGATTGGTCCAGTCTGTCAGAGTTTTGGTCATATAGCAGTCCACAGGTGGTTGCTGCAAAATGGAGATGGGATGGAGAAGGGATACAAAAGAATTTGGGCTTTCGTATAGTATTTATATTTTTTCCCCATGAGGGAATGACGTCAGGCATAATAACGATTTAGGACAGCAGTGGCAGCTGAAGGTGTCTGTTGCTGTCCCTCCCGAGCCATCTCAATGAACTCCATTTTTTATTTCTTTAACACTTACAGTCATCACTGCCGACTCAATACAAAGAAAACAAGGAGAAAAATGATCCACAAGAGACACAGACACACCCAAAAACAAACAAACACCCCATTCCCCAGGAACCAAAACCAGGTCCCCCCAAAATCATCCAACAGCACCACTCTCCTGAATCAGGCCCCTGGCACACCTATGCCTCCTTCCACCGAGAGGAGAAAGTCCCAGACAGTCCCAAACAACATGTACCAGTGTTCTCAATATAACTAAGTCAAATAGCAAATATTATGGACACTATATTGATTTGTTTGGTATTTCTAAATATCACAACATGTTCAAAGTTAAATTAGATCAACATGAATGGGTTAGGGTTAATTTATTAAACTCCCTGTTGTCATTAAACCCTGTTGCGTTTGTGGGGTGGCGTGGTGGCTCTGTGGCTAAGGATGTGTGCCTTCTGGCTAGAAGGTTGCTGGTTCGTATCCTCCGGCCGGCAGAGGAATCCTACTCTGTTGGGCCCCTGAGCAAGGCCCCGAACCCCAACTGCTCCAGGGGAGCTGTATAAATGGCTGACCCTGTGCTCTGACCCCAAGCTTCTCTGTGTGACTCATGGAGAGCAAGTTGGGGTATGCGATAAGACAAATTCCTCATACAAGAAATTGTATATGGCCAATAAAGTGATCTGATCTTATCTTACTCCCCCCTCTCTACCACCCACAACAAGCCCAGGTGTAACAGGACAGCCAGGTTAAGGAGATGAAGAGGGGGTGGGGTCACTGGGGGGGGCCGCAATGAGACGGTCCTCACAGTGCATTCGCACCAGGGAATTGGCTGCACCTGTGCACAGACCCTTCTATACAAACTGTGCAGAGTAACAGGGGGTCTGACTGTTCAGACCCTCACGATTCGTTGAGGAGTGAATCTCAAGGTGAGATTTTACACAGCCAAAAACACAGAATCCGTTCAGGTTAGCGGTAAAAACAC